TCAACAATGAACTATTCTTGAATACAGAGTTAATGCTAATATGTTTAAAATTAATAGATTAAATATCAGTGGATTTGAATTCTAAGATATTAGTATTCTCAAAAATGCTATGTTCAAATAAAAAATTCTCTATTTAAATAGAGGAGGTTTTTGAAATAGTATCATAAAAAAATGAAAAAAGACTTTTTTGGTTTTTATTTTTAATATTCATATTTCTAAGGATCACCTAACTAAAGACTATTTCATTCAATTGGGTGCACTAAAAGCTAAAAAAAGTAGAGGTTGTTAAGGAAGTTGTTGATATTACTATCTTGTATAATTGCAATTCAATGGATTTAAAGCCATATGCATTGATATTCTTATTATAAATGTTTGATTAAATCATAAATTGTACATTTTCAAAACGTAATAAAGTAAAATCAATAAAGTGTAATTCTTCAAAAATAGTTATTTACAATTCTTTTTCAATATTAGACTTTATAGTTAATTGAACATCGCTAGATATAGTAAAATATATTACATAGCTTGAAACACATTTTTAGAGAAGGCTTAAGTTATATAACTTAATTAAGGAACCTAACAAACTTATTCACTTTTGGATACAAGAATCAATTTGACTTTCTTAATTATCTTTTTGCTCATAATGCTGTAGATGGCATCAATATCAAACTAAATGGATATCATAAAATATTACTATTTAAAAGCTGTTTCCCTAAACATTATATTATAATAATTGTGAAAACATAACATTTTCTTTCTTAAATTTATTTTTTAAATCTATGTCTTAGATTAATTCTAATTAAGCAAGGTAATCTTCATCATTACAAAATAAATTTAATTCCAAAGTTACAACATTCTCACATGGCTCTGAATTCTAACATGATATAAATTATCCTAGGATACTATCATAAAACAAAGTTTCATCATTCTAATATGGTTTTAAACATTAATAAGTTTAAATAGCATTGATATCAGTTTTAATGAACAGAGAATTAATGCTTTGAATTTCTTCATTTGTTCTTTCCCTGCAAAGTTCACAGTAACTAGGACAACCAGTACATTAATTTTATACTAGACTTAATAGATTATGATAGATATTCTGACCACATGTTTAGCATGTATATTGACCATCTAAATAAATGCAACTTTAACAACTGTCATCACAATACTTAATGCATTTGTTATCTCTTAAAATATAACCCGTGTAACAAGATGTGCATATTATTTCATAATCATCTAAATTTTAGCTTTAATCCTAGCTCCAGTACTATTAAATAATAAATTTATTTATTTTACAAAATAGAAAAGATCAAAGGAAGAGTGTAGAAACTGGACAAGGGATATTAAATTGTTCTTCCATTCATCATTATATCCGATAGTCGAATGATAACATGTTTTACAATGTAGATTTTCTGGACATAATTAACATTAACCAGTTAATCGAGTAGAATAATATCCTTATTGACATTTCAAACAGTAGGCATTTGTCTTCTGTTTTTTAGTATAACACCAAAAACAATTCTACAATTGAGTATTGCAAAAATCTCCTTCAACACTGAAGCCACTTGAATATGGTGATTTAAAACAAATATTTTGGTAGCCGTAATCAACTCCAAGATAAACAAATTTGTAATAATATGCAATTGAACATTAATAGTCAATTACATCAAAAGGATCACAAGTACTTTACTGATAATTGTATATAAAACCGTCTTAACATAATCCACAAATTGGTTTCTCATCTGATAAGTTATTAGAAGGTTAGAAATTATAAATAATAGCATTGTAAAAATAATTAGCCTAGGAGACTAAAACCACATTTTAGCAATTAGGAATATCTATTATTTTGCAATCCACTCCGTTGAATCGAATAGCCATTATTTTGTTATCAACACATGTTAAGCACCTTAAAAAATATTCTTAGGTTTGGATATTAAAATCTTCTCTGCAAAATTGACAATAGATTCCACAAGGCTAACATTATCCCAAATGGTTTACAGTATATTATCTATATAATCAATTGATAAATACGATTGACAAGTTAGACATTAGTATCCTATATTACTATCAGGGTTATTTTAACATGTTTTGCATTCCTTAGGACATGGCAAACACATCTTCTCTTAAAAATTGAAAAAGTAATTTTCAATACAGGTTAAACAAACGTCTTTAGATTGACATACAATGCATGATTGAATACAATTTAAACATTAAAGGTTATCGTAATATCTATTGGTTTTACATTTCATTCTTATTTATACACCTAAATGAAATTCATTACTATATTAACATTCCAAGTTAAGTTGCTTCACAAAATTCACTGGGCTCCTTCTAATAATTATAAATTTCTAATCTTTATTGATGAA